CAAACTCCTTTCCCTTCCCCTCCCCACAACAGACACCCTGTAAGGTAGGTGGGGCTGAGAGAGCTCTGACAGAAACTGCTCTTTTTCAAGAACAGCTCTTATCAGAACTGTGGCTTGCCCAAGGCCATCCAGCCAGGTGCAAGTGGAGGAGTGGGGAATCAAACCCGGTTCTCCCAGATTAGAGTCCGCCCACTTAACCACTACACCAAACAAAAGGCATGAAGCCATTAAACAAATATACAAAACATTAAAAATCCAATCACAATAGAATTAAAAAAGAAAACTAAAACCAGATTTTAAAAAGTCCAAGATGGCATCCCTAGACATTTCATTCCAGTTCTTGACTGTCTGACCACTTCTGGGCAGGGAAGAGGAAGCACAGGCTCAGAGTTGGTTTTGGGTGGTTTTTTTAAAATTTAAGTACTAAATTTTACTAAAGTACTAAAAGGCGGGGTATGTGTGAGCCGCCCTGAGCCCGTTCGCGGGGAGGGCGGGGTATAAATGCAATAAATAAATAAATAAGATGGCCGCCTGGTTTATCTTAATGTCATGGCAGATGTTGTTTGCAGGACTTTCTTTCGTGGATCAGACCCAGGTTGTTCTGCTCCTATTTTCAACAGATGGTTCTAAAAGAAGTTCACCAGCAGGGGCTGGAAAAGGTGGCCTGTTGCGTGGAGATTCCATTCAGCAATTGTGATTTACCTAACCTCCATATTGGGAGGCAGGGGGCTGTGGTGGCTCAAGTGGTTAAGACGCTGAACTGCAGACTGGAAGGTTGGTACTTCAGCAGTTTGAGCCCCGCGTGCCACATGACGGATGGAGCTCCCGTCTCTGGCCCCAGCTCCTGCCAACCTAGCAGTTCGAAAGCAAGAAATTGCCAGTAGATAAATAGGTACCGCTTTGGTGGGAAGGTCTCAGCATTCCCATGCGCCTTGGCATTTAGTCATGCCGGCCACATGACCATAGAAATGTCGGCTGGCTCTTTGGCTTGGAAATGGAGATGAGCACTGCATCCCTAGAGTCGAATTTGACTGGCTTTCAAGCAAGCGAAACCTTTACCTTTAACCTATATTTGGAGGCAGTCTACCTTTGTGAACACCATGGTCAGAGGAAGTCTACCTTTCTTGAGTACTGGAGGAGTTGTTTCCTTCATGTCCAGGCTTGACTTGGTGGTAGCAGATTTTTGTTCTAGACAGATTCTTTGCAGTGACCCTGCGTGGCTACTCCCAAAGCAAATGCCTCAAAAGAACTATTAAGTGTGTCTAAAAAGTACATTAAATATAGATGGCTGTGAGCCTGCAGCCCTTAAAAGAGAACTGCCTACTGCATCTCTGTGTGATTCAGTGCTCTGGCCTGCCGTTCTTCCAACATGCCTCTGTTTGGATGCCAGTCATTCTGCAGCAAGTCTGTTTGGCTCCCCCAAGGTCCCTGAAGATTCCTCCTAATACAAGAAGGAAAAATCCCCCAGCTCTTGAAGACCACCCTGTTGTATCTCTGCATGACTCACAGCTCCCTCTTTCCAGTGGACCTGTGCTGGAAGGGGGTCATTTTGCCACATCTGTGCATCAGTTCTGTTTGGATCAGAGGCAGAATGACTGAACCCCTCCCACATGGAAGGCTGCCCAGTGTGTCTCTGTGTGGCTTCTTGTTCTGGTGTTAAAAGTAAAGGTAAAGGTTTCCCTTGCTTGAAAGCCAGTCAAATCCATCTCTAGGGGGTGGTGCACATCTCCATTTCCAAGCCGAAAAGCCAGCACTGTCAGAAGACATTTCTGTGGTCATGTGGCTGGCATGACTAAACGCTGAGGCGTTACCTTCCCACCGAAGCAGTGCCTATTTATCTACTTGCAGTTTCTTGCTTTCAAATGGTTAGGTTGGCAGGAGCTGGGGCCAGAGACAGGAGCTCACTCCGTCACATGGCACCAGGGTCTCGAACTGCCGAACTACAGAGCTTCTGGTCTGCAGGCTCAGCATCTTAACCTCTCCTTCCAAACCTGGCTGCGTGACCGGTGTAACCAGCCAACAGGGGTGGGCAGATACCTCCAAGGAAAAGCAATTCTGATAGATTCCAGAAAGGAACATGGGGTGGCTGCAGTGTATCTCTTCATGTGGAGTAGAATTTCCCTCCCCCCGCCCCTGCACAGGAGACCAAATATCCCCTGAAATCCTGTTCTTGAAGGTTTCCTGGCCAAGCCCTTCTTTACTCAGTGGTGTGGGCGATTCTCTGCTTGCTGCAAGCTGCATTCATTTAATCGGCAATAGTCTCTCCTGCGTTGGCTTTGGAAGGAGGGTGTTTGTGTGTGTGTGTGTGTGCGTGTATTTATCCTGTGCATGTTTACTCAAATTTATTTTATTAAAATATTTCTATCCCACCTTCCCTCCTGGCTCAAATCCACTTGCAGGCCACCGTTAAAAAGCTACAATTTAAACCCAATAGATTAAAACTCCAGATACCCCCCTCCCCATCCCAAGAGTCAGTTTGGTGTAGTGGTTAAGTGCGCAGACTCTGATCTGGGATAACCGGGTTTGATTCCCCACTCCTCCACTTGCACCTGCTGGATGACCTTGGGCAAGCCATAGTTCTGGCACAGCTGTTCTTGAAAAAGAGCAGTTTCTGTCAAGAGCTCTCTCAGCCCCACCTACCTCACAGGGTGTCTGTTGTGGGGAGGGGAAGGGAAAGGAGTTTTTAAGCCGCTCTGAGACACCTCTGGGTAGTGAAGGGTGGGGCATAAATCCAATCTCTTCTTCTCTTCAAATGCTTGCAGTTTATACCCCATTAAAAGCTTTAGTGAACAAAATGGCCTTGCAGTGCTTCCTGAAGTTTTCTAAAGATGGCGTTCCCCTCGCCTCCCGAGGGAGCCTGTCCTACAAAATGGGAGGGATGACGGGAAAGACACAGGCTCTCTGGTTGATGCCTGGTGGGCTGCTTCAAGTGGGTGGGGGGGACAGCCGGTTTGAAAAGATGGTTGGTGCTCTGGCCGAGAACACCTTCTGTCCCAGCTTTCTTAGAGTTTGTTAGCCAACCCGGCCACATGGATCCACGCTTTTGTAATCTTGCAGCAGGATTACTGTAATGCATTCTACATTCGGCTGCCTTGAAGACAACCACCCAGAAGCTGCAGCGGGTTTCAGGGTGCAGGAACCCAGTTATAGCCTGGGGCTAGCCAATGGGAACTAACTTGGGTGACGTAGGCACGGTGTGTAATGTCACTTTTGGTGACATTGGCACATCGGGGGCAATGTTTCCAGCTCCCAGAGCGTCCCCCCTATCCCCCGCTGGTGTCTTGAAGGGACCTCATCAGAGTATCGTGCCATAGAGTCCACCTCCAAAGCAGCCATTTTCTCCAGGGGAATTGATCTCTGTCATGTGGAGATCAGTGGTAACGGTGGAGGATCTCCAGGCCCTGCCTGGAGGTTGGCAGCCCTATCTGTAGCACCATGTATACTGCTTGGAATGCTCTGCAGTGCTATCTAAATGCTGCTTGTGCCTAGCCATATTTATTCATTCATTCATTCAATTTGTATCCCACTTCATTCCCCACAAGCAGGGCTCTGGGCAGCTTCCAACAAGCAGACAGACAACAATTTTCAACATTCTACAGTTTTAAAGTCTATATCAGTTAAAACTTAAACGTCATTCCTACATCAGATGGTGCCCTAATATCCATCGCAAGCGAACACCTGGGGCAGCCGGCAAGGAAAAAGGGGAAAAGAAAAGGGGGCGCTAATTGGAGCTTCCTGACGGTCTTCCATGGTGGCCCAACATACCTGGCCAGGATTGCCTTTTTGAGCCGTTTGCCAGGGGACATTGTTTCCTTTTTAGTGACTTATGGCTTCTTGTCTTTTTTCCTTTTCATAGCAATGGGGGGGGGGGAAGTGCCATGTTAATTGCTGTGAAGTCTTTGGGGCGTGAAATCACCGCTATAAATAAATTGATTAGGAGAATTTGGCAGTGGGGAAGGAAGAGCTGGCAGTCCTGGTGGCAGACATGGGGTGAAATGCAAGGCCAAAGTAAAGAAACCAGGAAAGGAGTACAGTGACAGCTGAAGGGGGGGATAAGGGAGGGTAATGGAGGCAGACTGGCCCTTTAACTTACCAGGGAAGTGTCTTGTGAGCCACTGCTCTGGAAAGCCCCAGGCAGCTAACAACACCCCAGTCTGTTCCTGGTAGAGTAGGGTGGGACAGACTCCTTAATCCCTGAAGCCTTTAAAGGAGAGACAGTACAGTACATTAGACTAACCACAGGCTGCTCTCCTCCAAAGCATTTGTTCCCTGGCTTTCTAGCTGCAGGGACTCCCTTTCCCCAAGAACATAAGAAGAGCTCTGCTGGATCAGACCAGTGGTCCATCCAGTCCAGCATCCTGTCTCACACAGTGGCTTCAACCAGTTCCTCTTGACAACAAGGCATAGAGGCTGTGGCCTTCCCCTGATGTTGGCTCCTCCTGGCACTGGGATTCAGAAGTTGACTGCCTCTGGACGTGGAGGTTCCAAACCGATTCTTCCGCTGAGGAATCCCTGGGTTGGGAGTTTCCTTGGTCGCATACAAATTGCACGGGGTGCAAAGTGTATCTTGTTGGCCTTGGAAACCTGGCACCTTTTCAGAAATGGAAATAGGGACATGCAAGAGATGAGCAGAGGTGGTTTGCCATTGCCTGCCTCTGTGTAGCAACCACAGTCTTTTCGTCCAAGTACTAACCAGGGACAAACCTGCTTTGCTTCCAAGCTCTCTCACTAGCGTGGGCTATCTTAACTACTGCATATATGGACTTTTCGTGAATTCTACCCCGTGCATGTGTTTTGCATCTTAATAGTATGTCCATTTTGTTTATCATTGTTTTATTGATACGGGATGTTACTTTATTGTTCACTGTTTTGGATAATTTCTTTAAAAATGTTTTGTTGATTATTTTCCATCTTTGAAATGAATACAGAAAACCTCTCTGTGTGGAAGTCTTAAAACAAGCGTGTTGAATGAAACAGCCTTTTTTTGCATCTTCTTCCAGTGGTCTTGATTGGAGAGTCCGGAGTTGGGAAGACCAACCTCCTTTCCCGTTTCACTCGCAACGAGTTCAACCACGACAGTCGCACCACCATTGGGGTTGAGTTCTCCACCCGCACCATTATGGTGGGAAATGCCCTGGTGAAAGCACAGATCTGGGACACGGCCGGGCTGGAGCGTTACCGTGCCATCACCTCTGCGTAAGCCTAAATGTAACCCGGTGTTATGGGAGCTGCAGGGAGAAATTCAGCAGTAAATCAGGAAGTGTCTCGCTTTCTGCAAACTATGCAAAACTGAAGAACAAAGTTTGAGTCCAGTGGTACCTTTAAAACCAACAAAGTTTTGTTCAAGGTATAAGCTTCCATGCACGCATACTTCCTCAGATACAGTAAAACAGAATTTCCTCAACCATTACATATAGGAAAAGAGAGGGTGTGGGTGGGGTTGCCAGGAAGTTAGAATCAAATTGCACAAGTAATTGGGCAATTATAGCTGAGATTGGATTAAGACAGTTGTAAAGTTCAACAAAGGAGCTGCGGTGGCTCAAGTGGTTAAGACGATGAACTGCAGGCTGTGGAAGGTCAGTAGTTCAGCAGTTCGAGACCCGAGTGTGCCGCATGACGGAGTGAGCTCCCGTCTCTAGTTCCAGCTCCTGCCAACCTAGCAGTTCGAAAGCAAGAAATTGCAAGTAACAGCGTTCCGTGCGCCTTGGTGTTTAGTCATGCCGGCTACATGACCACGGAAACGTCTTCGGACAGCGCTGGCTCTTCAGCTTTGAAACGGAGTTGAGCACTGCAACCCTAGCGTCGGATTCAACTGGCCTTCGAGAAAGGGAACCTTTACCTTTAAAGTTCAACAAAGTTCAGTTCTGGATATAAGCGAGAACTGATAGACTTAGCATGTGTAGATATACCTGAAGGAGTGTACATCTACACGTGCAAAGTCTCTCAGTTCTTGCTTATATCCAGAACTGAACTTTGTTGGTCTTGAAGTTGCCACTGGACTCAAAACTTTGTTCTCACATTTGTTGGTTAACTCTTGTATTTGTATGCTAATTTACTGCCATTCACAGATCTTACCAATCGCCTTAATCCAATCTCAGCTATAATTGCCCAGTTACTTATGCATCTTGATTCAAACTAGCCCTTCCTGGCCCCCCCCCCCTTTCTATATGTAATGGCTGAGGAAATTCTGTCTCACTGTATCTGAGGAAGTGTGTTTGCACATGAAAGCTTATACCTTGAACAAACCTTTGTTGGTCTTAAAGGTGCCCCTGGACTCAAACTTTGTTCTGCTGCTTCAGACCAACACGGCTTCTCACTTGAATCTATGCAAAACTGAATTATTCAAGAGGGCTTTTCTACACCGGCAATAGGGTAGCACTGTACAAAAGGCCTCACAAAGTTACTTGGATAAATTATTGGGGACTGTGGTCTGTGCTACAGAGTATAGTTTGCTGTGGGTTGGATCCTATTGTGTAATTTTGCATCATTTAGGTCCCTGCCACACGGCAGGAAAAACAACGGCCTAAATGCAGCTAATCTGAGCCGCACCAAAATAGAGATGCCGCGGCGGGATCCCACAGATCTCCTGAGCCGCGGCGCCTTTTCTCCCCGGCACGATCAGATGCCGGGGAGAAAACACAGTCCGGACGGGGAGGCTGCCGGACTGCCTGATCGCACCCGTTTGCTGCGCCCCCGATCCATCCCTCTCCCGGCCCAAAACCTCTCGTGTGACCGGGGCCTTAATGTATCCTGTTAACACTTGGCTTCAGTCCTGTCTCTAGATTTCTGATTGGTTCTACAACCCAAATCCTCTGTCATTGTCTACGGAATGTCCCATCTTGTTGACTGTATTGACTCACTCTGTGTAATCCACCTTGAATCCCAGTGAGAAAGGTGGACTATACGTCATGTAAATATAACAAACAAACAAATAAATTATGTGCCACTGCCACAAATTTACTAGGTGACCTTTGGCAAGTCACTGCCTCTCATCCTCAGCCTTTCTGCCTGCAATGTGGGAAGAATGATATTGAACTTACGTTTATCAGGGCTCTTTCTGAGAACACGTGATAGACTTTGTTCTCTCTATGTGTGTCTTTTAATGCTAAATCGTGTTGTTCTGTAGTAGGGAGGGGCTGTGGCTCAGTGCAAGAGCCTCTGCTTTGCATGCAGAAGGTACCAGGTCCAGTCCTTGGCATCTCCAGCTGGAAGGACCAGGCAGGTGGTGATGTGAAAGACCTCTCTGCCTGAGACCCGGGAGAGCTGCTGCTGAGTTAAACTGGTGGGAGAGGTTTTCGGGCTTGGTTTGGTTTTTAACCAAAGGGGAAACAGAGATGGAAGATCTGGAGGGAGGGAGGTGAGGACTGAGGAACTAACCAAAGCAAAGAGGTGAGGATGGAGCCTCCCAAGGTGCTGGATCACTAGAGGAAGATCTTCTCTGTTCTTCTCTTTACCTGCCCCTGTTGACCTCTAGTTCTCCTCCCAGGGCTCTTTTTGTAGAAAAAGCCCAGCAGGAACTCATTAGCATAATAGGCCACACCCAACAGCAGGAACTCTTTAGCATATTGGGCCACACCCCTGACAGCACAGCTCATTAGCACATTAGGCCTCACCCCCATGTTGCCAGAAGTGTGGTCATCCAGCCACACAGCCACCTTTTGCTTGTTATTCTGTTTACCTTGTCTGTTGTCAAAACCCAGGGCCTTTTTTTGTAGCAGGGACTCCTTTGCATGTTAGGCCACACACCCCTAATGTAGCCAGTCCTAATGAGTTTCTGGTGTTGGGTGTGGCCTATTATGCTAATGAGTTCCTGCTGGGCGTGGCCAACTTGGGAGCCAGCCGGAACTCCGTGCCTGTGCGTTCCGGCCCAAAAATAGCCCTGCTCCTCACACCATTCTCTTAATCCTGTTCCTTCTCTCCTCTGTGTCTGTCATCTCAGTTACTACAGGGGAGCGGTGGGCGCCCTCTTGGTTTTCGACATCACCAAGCACCAGTCGTACGATGTGGTGGAGCGCTGGCTGAAGGAGCTCTATGACCACGCCGAAGCCACCATAGTTGTGATGCTGGTCGGCAACAAGACAGACCTGGCCCATTCCCGAGAGGTTCCAACGGAGGAGGCCAAAATGTATGCAGGTAGGGGCAGGCCTTTAGGAAGTTCTGTGTTTCAGAGAGTGGCGGCCCTAAGGATTTGTTCCCTCACGTCTTTCCGTGCATCTGTCTCTGAAGAACTTTTTTTCTTCAGCATGTGTAGACATCACACTCGGGAACAGCGACAACATGGAATTCAGGCAACTTGCTGGGTAACCATAGCAACCAAAATGCCAAAATGGTCAGCAACAGGAAGAGCTGGTGAAAGCAGAGCATGTGTGTGGGGGGAGTAGGAGCGGGGAGAGGGGGAGCAGTTTCCTTCCCTCATGAGCCTTGTGGGTCTTGTACATAATAGCCAAAGGCTCTTCTCCATGTGGAGATAGACAAATCTGCCAAATGGAACCAGCCATGACTACAATATAGGTAAAGGTAAAGGTTCCCTTGCTCGAAAGCCAGTCGAGTCCGACTCTAGGGTTGCGGTGCTCATCTCTGTTTCAAAGCCAAAGAGCCAGCGCTGTCCGAAGACATTTCCGTGGTCATGTGGCCGGCATGACTAAACACCAAGGCGCACGGAACGCTGTTACCTTCCCACCAAAGTGGTCCCTATTTATCTACTTGCAATTTCTTGCTTTCTAACTGCTGGGTTCTGCAAACCCTCTTCACACTTGGGAAGAGTGGCGAGCAAACAACGAGGGGGTAGAGAATCAGACCGGCAGGAGAAATAGGCCACAGTGGCATGGTGGATGGGGGGGGGATGCAAGGTGATGAATGAAAGTGGGAAATGGGATTTCCTTTCTGACACCAGTCCTCATAGGCCCTCCCTTGTGTATGTAGATGTTTACCCCACAAGGACGGGATTGTGTGGTTTCCACATTCCCTTTGGGGCTTCCAATACAACACAGCAGCAATGGGTTTTCCGAGGGGGGGTTTCCCCTCATTTTTCCTGCTGCAGTTCCCCATGGTGGCTATAAAGGTAAAGGTTCCCAGGACAAACCCATTCTAAGTGTATGTACAGGAACGGAACTAAAAAGAATCGGAAAGATCCCCCCTGACGAAGCTGCATGCAATTATTGTATGACATTGTGCATAGAATAGCCAGGAGATCCTAAGATTGTCTGGCAATCACAAGTTCAAGCTCTTTTTAGCGTTATGCACCACTAGGTGGTGAGCTAGACTTGCTTTTTAAGGCAAGAGACATTTCAGAGGAGGGTTGCCATTGCATGCCTCTGGCTCCCGGCCCTGGTATTCTTTGGAGGTCTCCCATCCAAATACTAGCCAGGGCCAACCCTGCTTAGCTTCTGAGATCTGACAGGATCAGGTTAGCCTCTGTGTCTTAATTGCTGTGGTGGGCTTTCTCAGGAAAGCTTCTTCAAGTATTGTTTATGACCTCCTCCTTCCCTTGAAGTCCTCTTGTGTTTTGTTTTGCCTAAAAACTCATGGGGAAAATACTCTAGTTGCTTGACACTTATCAGGGATGTGCAACCCGACTCCCAGTCAGATGTAGGGGGGGCTCACTTTAGAAGAGAAGAGATTGGATTTATACCTCATCCTTCACTACCCAAAGGAGTCTCAGAGCGGCTTACAAACACCTTTCCCTCCCCCTCCCCACAACAGACACCCTGTGAGGTAGGTGGGGCCGAGAGATCTCTGACAGAAACTGCTCTTTTTCAAGAACAGCTGTGCCAGAACTATGGCTCATTCACTCGCGCTGTGAGGGTAGAGAAAGAGCTCCTGATTTCCCTCCCACCCTGCTTTTGCCAGTGGAAACAGCAGAGTAGGGGGCTTTCTGCCCCTTTTCTTTGGCTCTATGTGTCCCAGGAAGAACATGTGAAGTCAGAGAAATGGTGCAAAAAAAGACACACACATCCCATGGCCTGTTTCCACTGGCAAAAGCAGAGGTGGGAGGGAACCTGGAGGAACCTTCTCCCCCCCCAACAGTGCTCCCACACAGCACCAAGTGAGTGAGAGGTCTAAACAATATGCATTTTATCTATTTTGTAATCATTTTAGCTCTGTTTTTAACAGTTTTTCTCAAGTTGTTTTAATGACGTATGCTTGAGAGAAAGGTTGGTTTTAATAGGTTTTACAATGTAATTTTTATCATGTCTGCTTGCCGCGGTTAGCCGCCTTGTTGGCCTTTGTAAGGGTAGAAAGGCGGGATATAAATTTTGAATAATAAGGTGTGTTCCTCTGATGTGCATCTGGCTGTGAGTCTGGTTGTGCTCCCATGACCCAGCACATGTCAGACATATTGGGGCTGTCAGCAGAGATCAGGTAGTGTTTCACTGTTTACTCCTCTCACAGAAAACAACGGCCTGCTCTTTGTGGAAACTTCGGCACTGGACTCTACAAACGTGGAACTGGCTTTTGAAACTGTTTTGAAAGGTATGTGGGCGGGTGGTGCTGCCAAACTGAGATGGTTGGGTTCATATTACCATTCAGTTGGCCTTTGTAAGGGTAGAAAGGCGGGACATAAATTTTGAATAATAAGGTGTGTTCCTCTGATGTGCATCTGGCTGTGAGTCTGGTTGTGCTCCCATGACCCAGCACATGTCAGACATATTGGGGCTGTCAGCAGAGATCAGGTAGTGTTTCACTGTTTACTCCTCTCACAGAAAACAACGGCCTGCTCTTTGTGGAAACTTCGGCACTGGACTCTACAAACGTGGAAGTGGCTTTTGAAACTGTTTTGAAAGGTATGTGGGTGGGTGGTGCTGCCAAACCGAGATGGTTGGGCTCATATTACCATTCAGAGGAGAACAAACAACACTTCTCCCTCAGGGAATTTTAGGGCTGCCAAGCTCCAGGTGAGACCTGGAGATCTCCAGACTGCAGGGATGAGTTCTTGTGGAGAAATTGGCTGCTTTGCAGAGTGGACTCATTGGCAGAGTGGACTCAATCCGCTGAAGTCCGGCCCCTCCCCTCCCCTGCTGGTGGATCTCCTGATGGCACCTGGGTTTTGGCCACTGTGTGACACAGAGTGTTGGACTGGATGGGCCACTGGCCTGATCCAACATGGCTTCTCTTATGTTCTTAACCTTGCCCTCCCTAGGCTGCATCCTCAAATCTCTAGGAATTTCCAAACCCAGAGTTGGCAACCCTAGGGAAAGCCTTTGTGAAAGCCAGTGTGTGCTGGGAGTGATGTCATCACATTGGTGCTGTCTGGTGATGCTCAGATATTTGGGTAAAAACTCTATGGTAGAAGTAATTTTTACCATAGAGTTTTTGCCCAAATGCCAGAGCATTGCAGGGACAACCCAGCATTATGGCATCACTTCTAGTACATGCCGGAAAGCTAATTCTTGTTTGTCTGCGGGACTGCATTTTTGTAAGGCGTGGGTACAGAAAGTTGTCCATAAAATTCTAGCTAGCTTCTGAGCTTTGTAAAGCTGCCCCCAGCTGGATGTCAGCCAAAAATGTGCGGGGATATGAGACTCTCTAGAATATGTTCAGTGCTCTCCTCACAACTGCACATGACAGGAAAATATCAGTAGTGGTAGTTATCTAGGGTTGCCATTCTCCAGGTGGTGGCTAGAGATTTCCTGAGATTACAATGGATCTCCAGGCAACAGAGATCTGTTCACCTGGAGAAAATGACAGCTTTGGTGGACTTTACGGCATTATACTCCATTGAAGCCCCTCCCCTCCCCAAACCCCGCCTTCCTCAGGCTCCACCCCCAAAATCTCCAGGTATTTCCCAACACACAGCTGGCAACCCTAAGTCCATTTCTGATTTTTAAACAGAAGAAGTCCTGAAGTTCTGAAAACGGGCTTCTTTCGATTGATGCTAACGTATTTCAATTGCCCCCAAACCTAGGATTAAATCTAGGCTGCCTAATGTGCATACTATGCAAATGGTTTGCTAATTGTGCAGATCAAACATGTGCCTTGTCTACCGTTCACTTTGTGTCTGCTACTAGCAATAGTCACTAGAAACTGGAGAAGGATCGAAGCAAGCATTTCCCCTCCCTGGTAATTTGCTTATGCCACGGTTTGCTCATTCTCTGTAATAGTTGCCAGCCTGCAGGTGGTGCCTGGAAAGCTCCTGGAATTACCACTGATCTCCAGACTGCAGAGATCAGTTCCCCTGGAGGAGAAGGCTGCTTTGCAGGGTGGACTCTATGGTATTATACCCCACCAAAGTCCCTTCTGTCCCCAAACCCCATCCTCCCCAAGATCTACCACTAAACCTCCAGGAATTTTCCAGCCTGGAATTGGCAAGTATAGCAAAGCTGGGTGGGGCAAGATGCTAGCCAAAGTTGTATGACTTCCTTCATTGGGTAGAACAACAGGAGGAGGGAGCATCTTTGTTTTTCACTGAATGGGCAGGATGCTGCCTGGAAATTTTGCCTCCTATCTCTGGATCTACAGGGATTAGAGGCTTAGGGTTTTTTGTTTTGTTTTTAAATAAAGTTGAGAAACCATTAAGGTTGCCAGCAGTCTGGGGGAAAATGTCCTGCCCTTTTATTTGATGTGTGGAAATCGGCAGCTGAAGCTTTGCTTGGCATGGCAGTAATAACATCATCTGGTAAATAACATCTGATTAGGCCTCTGTTAAAGGTTGGATCCAGCCAGCTTTTTCAAACCATCTCACCCAATTCCCTTCCTTATTACAGCCTCCGCCTCACATGGGTTTTATCCATACAAATCCCATGAACCCCAGCATAGTTTTTT